TTTTATCTATTGCTTCCAGAATTTTGTTTACGGTATCTTATATAGCTGCGTCTAGAGATTTTTCAAAAAAAGTAGAAATTCTATCTGCTATTACCCATTCGAAGACTTTCGAAGTTACTGGGGGAGAATAGAAATGGCACTGTAGCAGGGTTCGACTGATTTAAATCATGATTTTAATCAAATGATTTATTTATTTTAATCAATGATTTAAATCAAAAACAAAACTGAAAATTAAAGTGCACTTTACTGCAAAATTAAAAAAACATTTAATACAAAAATTAAGATTCATTGTAATACTTATATAAGAAAACAAGTTTTCCTGCCTTTTCAACACCTAACTTGTTTCGTAAAGTAGAGTGAACAAGCCCAAATGTTGAAAATATTCTCTCAATAGAAGCAGATGACCAAACCGCACATAAAAATTGCTTTAATATTGGCAGTACCTTCTCTACTTCAGCAATGTGTGTTTGTGATACCCACCATTGTAAAGCACTTACATTACATAAGAGTTCCTCCGAAAACATTACTGATGAAAATGGTTCCATTTTTGCTTCTAGTTTTATAATTAGCGGTAGTAAACCGATATTAGCATACATTTCCTTAATTGTATTTAAGGGTTCCTCTTTTTCTATAGATGTTAACTTATACATAGTTTTAGTAACATCTAAAATATAGGCTATATAATGGTTAGACGTAAGTGCCTGCTTATACCGTTTATCAAAAACTTTCATTTGTACAAATGATAATTTTTCCTCGAGTAATGTTTTCAATTCTTTCCATACTTCCACTGCATCAGAGAAGAAAGCATTCTTTTTTTGTAATTTGTCAAGTGCTATAGTTATGGGTTTTAAGACATTGAAATAATCTTCCGCTGAGCGTTTGAGACCAATGTTTGAAACTTTTTTGTATATTGTCGAATTTATTTCGTTTTTATTCTCATCACACACTTTTAATAGTTTATCCCATTGACTTACATATACTTCCAAACAATCTGCCATACTATTTCATCTCACATCACTTGGCAGCACTAATGCTTTTCCATCAAGCTGTCTGTATTTGGCCTTCGCTAATTGATTATTTCTAAAATATTTTATAATTTGTGTAACGTGCTCTTTGATATTTGTTACTTCTAAATCTTTGCAAAGTAGGTTTAAAAGATGAGCTGAACACCCATAAGTTATCACTGAAATGCTGGGGTCCAATTTTTCTTGTAAGGTTTTTCGCATTAGTGCCATATTAGCAGCATTATCTGTTACAAATGATGTCACGTTACAGTTATATTTTGATTTACATGAGGAAATTATATTGCAAGCAATTTCAGTTAAATAGTCACTTGTATGGGGATTTTCGGATGTATCTATAGTTTCATATAAAAAAGAGTGTCCAGTTTCAGTGGTTATACTAGCGCAAACTATAGGTTCATTTCGTACATTAGACCAACCATCAATAGATATGTTTACGCAACACCCAGTAAGACTTCCACAACATTTAGTTTTCTCTTTTTCGTAAATTTGTTCCAAAAGTGTTGTAGAAATTGTTTTTCCAGAAGGGGGATTATACCCGGGTCTTAACAATTCAATTGCTTTTTTTACTTGTTGATTGTCCATACATCTAAAGCTGCTGTTTGTTGCAAATACAGCTCTTGCAATTTGTTTATCTATTTCTTGTTTTTTATCAATATCCGTTCGAACAATAAAGCTTTCCAAATTTGTATTTGCATTCGTTTTCCGTTTTTTACCTACAACAGCCGAATTATCCTCAGCAAATGAAGTCGAAGATGTAAATGAGCAAGCGCTTGCAGGTCGTTTTGAGAGGTGTTAATTGAAAACTGTTCTTTACTAGCAATGGATCAGAATCAGAATGAAGATGAGTTTTCAATTCCTATAGAACAAGATTGAAATAATTGAAAATAGTACTATTTTATCCATTTACGTCGTTTTAAGTTGCAATAAATACTATTTATCTTCAACTAAATTACTTTCTATGTTACTTGGTCCAGGGTCTCCTCTATCAGAGATTTTGAGTTTGCACTTCTCATGGTGTTCTTTCATCCTTTGCTTTTTTTTTTCTGCCGCTCATTTTATTTTACCCACTTCACCTTTACAGTTTGCTAACAGAGACTGAAGATTTCAAACACGAAACACTTTTTATATAGGAAAAACAACAAAAAAACGGTTAGTAAGGGCTTGGTCGCGACTCGTAACGTATTTCGTCGCGACAATTGTCTCGAGTATGATATAAAAAAAAACTAACACATAGAAACGTGTTATTAAACGAAAGAAGTAACAGTAAAACACTGGAAACTAAAAAAATCGTGATTTTTTTATCATATCATGATTTAAATCGTTGATTTTGATTTTTTTTTAAAAATCATGATTTATTCGAACCCTGCATTGTAGTTGTCTGGCTTTTCTACATTCCTTTTTTTGTGGATGGGAATGTTTTTTGCTAACTTCAATTCGTTTGGAAATATTCCATGTTTAAGGCACATGTTAATAAGATACACTAAATGTGTAGATAGACCTTCTATAGTTCTTTTCATAAAAGCAACAGGCATTCCATAAATGTCCTCAGTTATTTTTGATTTAAAACTTTTCACTATCGTTTTGACTTCTGTAGTATCAGTCGGTCTTAGAAAACAGGAACTTTCGTTGCATATTTGTAATCCATTCATATAATCGTTTCCTTTACGGATATTAACTTTGCTCCCGTTTTTCTGCAGATAGTTGCTGTATACCTCAGCCGCGATGGTTGTATCGCAGTTACTTCTACCTCTCTTTATTTCCTTATTTATTATTTGCCATACTTTTTTTGTCTGTTTTCAGCATGGTATATTGTTTTTTCATTATGTAGTTGTTGTTCATACATTACTTGTTGTTTTAATTCTCTTTTATATTTATTGTATATTTGGTATGCTTCTTCCGTTCTAGTTTGTTGTGCAATAATTCACAGAATTTGTACGGTGTTAAAGTTGTTTTCTGTAGTTGTAGATAATTTTACTTCTTTTCCTTTTCTACTCGAAACAAAGGTTTCTTTTGCAGGGCAGCACTTGTCAAAAGTACTTTTCACATGAAATAAGCAGAAAACGTTGCTGTTGGTGTATTTCCAGTATTTTCGGAAAAATAACACACATTCGAATCTTGTATAACGGATAACCCTTCGTTTAATAACTTGTTTTGTTTCAGCTTCCTTTTCTTTGTTATGCAACTTTAGCTGCTGTGTGTAATGATCTGACACGTGTAAATTAAGTGTTTTTTTTGTATACTGTTCATCACTTCAATTAGTAATAATGTGCAAGATGTAGTTCTTGCCATTTCTCTTGATATTTCATAGAAAACGCAATGTAAATTATAACTCTGTAATAAATCTTGCAGTAATATAACTTCTTGATTTTTAGTGGCTTATACATGAATGTTGAAGTCCCCTGCAATGAAGACTTTTTTGATATCTATTTCTTTTCTATAAAACCTCTTTTTTTTGTTTTGCTACGGAGTTATCATACTCTTCATTTGTCTGTGACCTGGAAGTTCTTTCCAGCGTGGCCGTTGGGAGGCACTTTGAGACCTTCCAACTATTGATTACCAGTTTTAAGTGGCTTTTTTGTAGTCCTTTTCTGGGGTCAACAATAAAGAGCGTTTTCGCTGCCTCTTTGGTCAGCTTTTCCGCCTTTTCATTGCCCTCAATATCTTTAATATGAAAAATGGTTATGTCCGAGCTGAGGGGCAATTTAATGCGGCTATTTGGTCCACTAATGCCCATACCTACTCCGGATCCAACTGTGTTCGAAACATCGGTGTACTAGGCAAGGGGCTCCTCTTTTAAGTTGAGGCTCACCCTTCGTCCAATCATCCCTGCTTCAGAATATGACCTTATACGGCTGGTCGAAATTATATTCTGTTAACTACAATAGATATTAAATTAAAGTGTTTAAGTACAAATTGAATTTATCATTTGTGGTCAAAACACTTAGTTTTGATGAGACAATAATTTCCGTTAAACTTCAGACATTCATTTAGAAGGGAAAAGCACTTTTCTGAACCGAAAAACACATCAAATTAATAGTTAGCACGATCAAAAAGGTATCTCGTTTGGTTTAATTACACATTCTTTGACAAATTTGATAATTTATACAGATATGCAAGTGACAGTTTTAAAACGCGACTTAATATGGATAGCTGCCGCTAGATGGAGCGCGCAACCATGTAATGAACAATTAAACTTTTTAATTTAAACAACTTATAAATCTTAAAATAAATTAATCACTATATAATTTAAAACAATTAAAAACTACTTACTTTTTGTTTTGATAAATTATCCCGATTTTCCCGAAGTTAGGTTATATTTCGATTAAAACTTCACTCTTTCATTTAGGGCAAAAAATCTTTTGCAGAACCTCAAATTAAGTTAAATAAATAATTTGTACACTTAAAAAGATATTTTGACGATTCATTTTTGCTTTAATTACATATTTTCAGGGAAAATTCGATAAATTATAGACTGGTTGTTTTAAAACGTCAAAATACGCTTTAATATGGATATACACCGCTAGATGGGGCGAGCAATCATTTATTAAAAAAATAAATTTATTAATTTTAAATATAAATAATAATATATTATTTTTAAAAACGTATTTAACGTATCTTTTTTGGTTTACTTATAAAATTTAATTAAGCACATTACAATTAATATGTTAAAATACGATTGAATGAAATATCGCTAGATGGGGTGAATAAGACTTAAAAAAAATTATTTTATAACTTCAAATGAATTGAAATTTATCAATGAATAATTAAATAAGAAAAAACAACACTAATTAATATTTAAAGAAATTAATATTTACCACAATTAATTAATAATTATAATTTCAATTTATTTAAACTCTCAATATTGCGCTATTTGGGTTGCATAAGTAACCATTTAATTTATTTATTAAAAATGAGTACATTTTAAAATAATTATTTAAATAATATTTAACTTAATAAATAATTAATTCGTTTTAGTACAATTTCTGTGAGTGATGAATTTTTAAAAATGTCTTTCGAACAATTAACTGATTTAATTGGAAGGGATTCAATCGTAGTTTCTTCAGAAGAAAAGATCTACGAATCTGTTTTATTTTGGTTAAAACACGATCTTGAGTCCCGAACTCAACATATAAGCGTTCTGATGAGCCAGGTCCGTTTAAATTTATTATCAAAAGAATATTTGGCTAATAACGTTATAAACGAACCGATTTTAAAAGCTGATTTAAAATGTAAAGACTTAATAATCGAAGCTTTGATATGCGAAAATCTTCCCGGGACAATTAAAACTATTAAATCAACACCGAAACCCCGCGGTAATACATCCGAGGTTCTTTTAATAATGGGTGGATATTCTTTGGCGGCTGAAGGAACTTTTGAATATTACGATATCAAAAAGCAGTCATGGTCAAAACTTTTTATGATGCCTTTAAGAAAAAGAGGAACGCATTGCGTTATTGTTAATAATAAAGTCTATGTAATCGGTCGTTGTGATGTAACTCGCCCTATAAATGTTATAACTGAATTCGATTTCGTTACGAATTCATGGCTGGATTCGATTGCGATGATAACTTCCAGAACTTATTATGGAATCGGGGTTTTAAACAATTTTGTTTACGCCGTCGGGGGTTGTAACAGTGAAGGGAGATTAAACTCAGCCGAAAAATTTGATGTTAAAGCAAAAAAATGGGTTTCAATTGCAACAATGTCTAATCGAAGATCTTGCGTATCAATTGGAGTTTTTAACGAATTTTTATGCGCAATTGGTGGTTTTGGGGAACATAATCTCCCGATTAAATCAGTTGAATATTACGATTCTAAAATAGACGTTTGGAAGAAAGGGTGTGAATTAATTTATCCTCGAGGAGGAGCCTCGGTTGTTGTTTTAGACAATCGAATGTTCGTTATCGGTGGTTTTGATGGAAAAAAATGTATTAATTCAGTTGAATATTTTTCAAGTGATGAAGATAAATTTGTTAAAGCAGCTGATTTGAATGTTGCAAGAAGAAATTGTGGGGTTGCTACTATAAATGGATTGATTTATGTTATTGGGGGATCAGATGGAGATAAAGATTTGTCTTCCGTTGAAGTTTATGCTCCAAAAGATGATAAATGGATTTTATTGGAGACGTCCATGAATATTCCGAGGAGTTGTCACGGTGTTATTGTTGTTGATAAGATCTTTTAGGGCCAAAAATAAATGTTGAAATAATTGATGTAAGAGACTCTTGACATTAATACGTGTTAACGATTAAAATCGCGAATAAAAAGTACCTTAGATTAACAAAAATATTCTTTATCATGATGAAAATCAATAATTTGAATTGTTTTTTTTTTGTCGATAATAGCTTATATAAACCGTTAAATTAAAAAAAAATTCATTTAACTTCTATTAAGATGTTTTTGGTGATCGCTTTATTTTGTATCCCAGCTATTTTGGGGGCACCCAATTTAAAACCTTTAACACCAGAACAAGGTAAGTTTTAATTATTTATATTACTTTTTTTTTGTAATATGCTCCGTTTCCCGAGTTACCATTAACAACTTGAAAAAGCAACAAATTTATCCAATTTTCATATTTTCGTATTTTTCTCGATATTGATTCATCTGAGAGCAAAAGTGAAACATAGGAATATTGTTTAGAATAAAATTTGCTACAACTTTTGTTCTAAAAGTTTTTTTATGACATGCTCCGTTTCCCGAGTGTTTCCATTGAGAATTAGTAAAGTAACGAAATTCATCAAATTCTCATATTTTCGTGTTTTCTTCGATATTAACGCATCTGAGAGGAAAAGTACAAGAGAGCAATATTGTTAAGAATACAATTTGCTATAACTTTTTTTCTAAAAGTTTTTTTATGACATACTCCATTTCCCGAATGTTGCTGTTGAGAACTAGTAAAATAACGAATTTGATCAAATTTTAATATTTTCGTATTTTTCTCGATATTGACGCATCTGAGAGCAAAAATGCAAGAGAGCAATACTGTTAGGAATACAATTTGCTACAACTTTTGTTCTAAAAGTTCTTTTATGACATCCTCCATTTCCCGAATGTTACTGTTGAGAACTAGTAAAATAAAAAAATTCATCAAAATTTAATATTTTCGTATTTTTCTCGATATTGATGCATCTGAGAACGAAAGTACAACAGATCAATATTGTTAAGAATAAAATTTGCTACAAGTTTCGTTCTAAAAGTTCTTTTATGACATGCTCCGTTCTCCAATTGTTACCACTGAGTACTAATAAAATAACGAAATTCATCAAATTTCCATATTTTCGTATTTTTCTAAATATTCACGTATCTGACAGCAAAAATGCAAGAGAGCAATACTGTTAGGAATACAGTTTGCTACAACTTTTGTTCTAAAAGTTTTTTTATGACATATTCCGTTTCCCGAATGTTACTGTTGAGAACTAGTAAAATAACGAAATTCATGAAATTTTAATATTTTCGTATTTTTCTCGATATTGACGCATCTGAGAGCAGAAGTGCAAGATAGCAATATTGTTAAGAATAAAATTTGCTACAACTTTTGTTCTAAAAGTTTTTTTTTATGGCATGCCCCGTTACTCGAGTGTTAGCATTGGCACTAATAAAATAACGAAATTGATCAAGTTTTCATATTTTCGCATTTTTCTCGATATTGACGCATCTGAGAGCAAGCATGCAAGAGAGCAATACTGTTAGGAATAAAATTTTCTACAACTCTTGTTCTAAAAGGTTTTTTATGACATGCTTCGTTTCCCGAATGTTACTACTGAGTACAAGTAAAATAACGAAATTCATCAAATTTTCATATTTTCGTATTTTTCTCGATATTGACGCATCTGAGAGCAGAAGTACTACAGAGCAATGTTGTTAAAGACAAAATTTACCACAACTTTTGTTCTAAAAGTTTTTTTATGACATGCTTGGTTCCCCCAGTGTTACCATTGAGAACAAGTATAATAACGACATGAATCAAATTTTTATATATTTCTTGACATTCATGCATCTTTGAGCAAAAGTACAAGAGAGCAATACTGTTAAGAATGAAATTTACTACAACTATTGTTCTATAAGTTTTTTTATGACGTGCACCGTTTCCCGAGTGTTACCATTGAGAACTAAAGTTACGAAATTCATCAAATTTTCATATTTTCGTATTTTTCTCGATATTGACGCATCTGAGCGCAAAAGTGAAAGAGAGCAATATTGTTGAGAATACAATTTGCTAGAACTTTTGTTCTAAAAGTTTTTTTATGATATACTCCATTTCCCGAATGTTACTGTTGAGAACTAGTAAAATAGCGAAATTCATCAAATTTTTATATTTTCGTATTTTTGTCAATATTGACGCATCTGAGAGCAAATATACAAGAGAGCAATATTGTTAAGAATAATACTTGCTACAACCTTTGTTCTAAAAGTTTGTTATGACACACTCCATTACACGAGTGTTACCATTGAGCACTAGTAAAATAACGAAATTCATCAAATTTTCGTATTTTTCTCAATATTGACGCATCTGAGAGTAAAAAGGCAAGAGAGCAATACTGTTAAGATTAGAATTTGCTACAACTTTTGTTCTCAAAGTTTTTTTATGACATGCTCCGTTTCTCGAATATTACCATTGAGTACTAATAAAATAACGAAATTTATCAAATTTTCATATTTTCGTATTTTTCTTGATATCTATGCATCTGGGAGCAAAAATGCAAGAAACTAATATTATTAGAAATAAAATTTCCTACAACTTTTGTACTAAAAGTTTTTTTGTAACTTTTCCCGATTCCCGTTTGCTAACATTAACATCAACTCTGGTTGAATTCTCGCTATAGGCGCTCACATTTATATTTAAATATACTTTTATTGTATTAATTTTTTTTTAAATTAGTTGAAAGGTTAAAAAATTGGACTGAAGATGATAAACAAAATATTTGGGAATTAAGTGGCCAAACCGAAGGGGATATGGTGTTGGATGTTGATCAAAGAAATGGGTTAATCAATGAAAGATATCGTTGGAGTAATAATGAAATTCCTTACGTTTTGGATTCTAAATTTGGTAAGAATCACTCCTTTATATTTTAGTTCATTTTTAAATTAATTTATTTTAATTTAGATGATGATGAAGTTGCATGGATTGACAAAGCTTTGGAAGAGTATCAAGAAAAAACTTGTTTAACAGTTAGAAAATTCCAAGCCGGTGACACCGATTATGTTTATGTTACTGTAAATAACTAAAAAAATGTTTTTATTCTTTTTATTGTATTAAAATCATTTAAGGGAGAAGACAGCGGTTGTTGGTCGTCTGTGGGACGTCGAGGAAATCGCCAAACTTTAAATCTTCAACGTGGCAAACTCGGGGAAGGTTGTTTTAGAACTGGAACGATCGTGCACGAATTTTTACACGCAGCCGGATTTTACCATCAACAAAGTGCAACCGAACGTGACGATTACGTTGAAATCGTTTGGGAAAACATTCAATCTGGAACCGAAAACAATTTTGCCAAACACGCGGCTGATGTCATCACCAATTTCGGGGAACCTTACGATTATGGTAGCGTTTTACATTATGGTGCTTACGCGTTTTCGAAAAACGGAGAAAAAACTATCATCACTTTAGATCCAGAAGCTGAAATCGGGCAAAGATACGGAATGAGTGAGATCGATGTTAATAAAGTTAATATCATGTATGGATGTGGAAAGAAATAAGAAAATAAAATGTGAAATCTTTATACAATTTATTTTTTTTGTGTGATAGTTTACACATTTTCTTTTGGTAACAAATAAATAGTACGTAAAAAACAGAATTAGTCCATTAATCGATTAGAATTTAAAGATATAGATTTTTAGATTTCGTTTAAAACTGAATAATATATAAAGAAAATAAATTTAAATTAATAATAAGTAAAGTGTTAGTTTTTATTTTTATTTGAGACTAATACTGTGTAATTCTATACGATCGATTAAATTAATTAACTAATTTAATATAAAAAAAATATTTTAAAACAAATTTTAAAGATATCTTTTTTAATTAGAGAGTGAATTGATTAAAATTCTATAAATCTAATTATTTCTTAAAAAATAAGTACCTTTTCGACAAAAACTCCAATTTAAAACGATATCTCGCTTTAAATACATCTTGACTAGTTACAAGTTGTTCTTTCTCTCCTAATTTTTCAAAAATAACACCACTTGGTAACCTATTTATTGTGACTATTAATTTTTCTTTTTCTTTTTGAGATTCTTACAGAAAAATAAATTTGAGTATTCTCCTCATAATTTTTTTAAATTTAAAATTTTCCACCTCTAAAAGAACCAAATCTGCCTAAAGAACCACCACTATTCGTGTTATTATTAATTTTAGTAGTACTCGAAGTAGTTGGTTTCATAAAATCTCGATTTGAAGAAGACGAAGAAATAAACGGCTTCATCGGCGGTTTTTGTTGATTAACACTCGAACTTCTCTTTAAATTCACCACCGAAGAAGTTTTATTATTATTATTATTTCCCATCAATTTATTTCCATTTAAGTTTCCCTGAATTTTTCCCGAGTGAAAATTTTTATTATTTAATCCAGATTTTAACGGTAACTTTTTAACTGTATTCGTCGATGTTGAACTATTAATCGAAGTTCTCGAGCTACCGATACTATTTCTCGATGAAGATCTTTGAACTTCATTCAAAATTTTATTTCCGCTAAGATTAATATTTTTTTTGATGTTATTACTTTGAGAGTCGGGTTTTCTTAAACTATTTGTCCTCCTTGGAATAACACTTTTCTTTGAATCTTGACTCAAAACAACCGTTGAGTGCCTCAAAGAATTATTTCGATCAAAAATTGGTCTTTTCGGCTCAATTTTATTTGATATTGGTTTTATCGGGATACTTTTTAATTTTTCTTTAGGTTTAATAACATTCCCTTTTTGATTATGTTTTGATTCCCTTGTTGATGTTAAAACAGCCTCTTTTTCATCGCTAACAGTATCCGGGTCGTAATTAGCTGAGGAAGAGGCGCCTTGGCTCGGACTTTCCGACATTAAACTCAAATTTTCTTCGAAACCTTCATCGTCTTCTTTGGTTTTTCGAGTTGGGTTATCTTTAGTTTCGGCTAAAATAAAAAAAAAAGTTTGTTTAAAACGAATTAAATTGAGTTAGGTTTAGTGGTGTAAAATTACCGGTAATTCAAAAATCGGTAATATTACCGGTAATGTTACGTAATATTACGGTAACATTGGTAATTTGTAAAAAACAGCTTTTTAAGTAATACAAGTTTTTTTTATTTCAAAACTGTAAAAACATTACGAAAAACAACAAGAACGTTTTTTAAACTAGTCAGAGTCACAATGGACTATGTAATAGAGTGGATAATGGTAAATCATCCTCATCATCATCCGGATCATCCCCAACCTCGTCATCTGAATCTTCTTCCTCTTTCGTTAATTGAGTAAAGTCTATAACTTCGAAACCTATATCTTCTTTTTCTATTTCTTCTTCCGTAGCTTCTACTATTTTTGAATGATCGTCTTCATTTAGTAAATTATAATTATGGGCAATATAAGTTAGTTTCCACGGTAAGTCTGTTTCTTCTTTGTCGATGAATAAATCCGTAAGTACTAAAGGTTTTTTCGGTTGCGGCTGTTGACGATGGTAAATTTAAAATGTCTACAGTCAACCCACTTATTTTAGAACTTGAGCAAATTCCTGCCCACCAAACAGGTCCAGACATACATTTTTCGCTGGAAATAACGAATTCCTTAGCAAAATTATTACCTCTAATTTTGTATAGTGCGAGTGCTTTCATAATAAGATCTACTTGTGAAGAATACTTTGGATGACGCCTTGCAGTTTCATAGATGAACTCCGTTGCAATTAAATTTTCATCTTCAGTTAAATTGTCGCCGCGTTGATTTGGTTCTAATAGGTAAGCAGCAAGATGAACGGGTTTTAAACATTTATTTTGTCGTTTTTCAAGAATTGAACACATTTTCTGGTATTCCAACATAGTAATAGATAAATTTGATACTTTGTCACATAATATAGATCTTATTTCAAAAAAGCAGATAAACACTTTTGAGATTGTTGCCCCGTTAGCTTCAAAAATTGTTATCCACTTAGTGATTGGCTGGAACAAGCAACTTATTGCTTCTATTTGTAACCAAAATTCGTTTTGAAGAAGAAGTCTTACTGTATTTGATGAAAGAACATCAGAAATATCTGGGTTATCATCAACTGCTAAACTTTTTAATGAATATTTAGTGTCCAAAAAGCTTTTTAGACAACAAACAAAGGAACCCCATCTTGTTTTCACCGGCAATTTTAAAGAGATGTATCGCCCCATTTTGTCCAACTGGATTTCTTCAAACATTACATGTAAAATCTGTGAATTTTTCAGCTCAGATACAATTGAAATTATGTTCTTTTTAAAAGAACCAGAACGTTTAGACCGTGGCAAATATAACCATAATTAGTAATGTAATCGTACTTGCTGCTAACTATTTCACGAGCCTTTTTTATTATTTAGTTAACTCCGTTGTCAGTGACAATAGCTAGAAAATTTGAAGCTCCTAATTCTTTCAACACTTTTTCAATTTCTGAGGCCAAAAATGTTGCTAAATGTCTGTTATTTTCGATGTGTATTGATTTGTAAAATACCGGAAGAGGTGTATTAATAACAAAATTAGATATAGAGTCATTTCTGTAATTTGACCATCCATCCATTTGTAGGCTTAAGACAGGTGCTTCACTAATTTTTGAAGAAACTGCAGCTTTTACTCTAGTGTACTCGGATTCGAGGAGTGGATTTGACAACTGGTAACGAGAGGGTGGCTTATATGCGCATCTCATTGCTTTGAATACATCTAACCATACTTTTTTCGTTGTCATATCTAAGGGGGCTCCTGAGACATAAATAGCCCTTGCGAGTATTTCATCAATCTTATTGTTTTCTTGAGAGGACATGTTATCAAAATACGAAGAAATTGTACCCTTTGATGCTTTAGTAGTACTTGAAAATGAAGAACTAGCTGATGAAGGCACAGGCCTGACTAGTGAAGCAATTTCTGAGTTTAAAGATTCTCCCTGCCCCTGCTGAGAGGTAGTATCAGTATCATCAGCATCACTATCTTCTAATACCTCGGTTGAACTTGGCGTGGTGTTATTGTTACTACTGGAAACATTTATTATAGGCAATTTCCCTTTTTTAAGAATTTGTACTACATTTTCAGGTATTTTGACACATTTTAGCAAATGTTGGAATTGTCTGGTAGCATTTCTTTTAAAGAAGGTTTTACAATATTTACAGAAATAGTTGTCTTTATCTTTAAGATCGTAGTACCTCCAAACATCACTCTTCGGCTTAACCGTATTATCGCAACTACAAAATAAACATCATGCATTTCGGGAAGAGCTCAACTTAAAAATATCTAGACTTACCAGTTCAAATATCACATAACAAGGCAAAACAATTACAGTTATTTAATAGGAATCGCACTGATAGTTATAAACAACACCTTTTATAACAATAATGTCACTAATTATGATGAAGATTGTTTATAAAATATCGCTTGCCGCTTGCCACGGGCTACGGGGAACCATGGAATTGTCACAAGTTAGATTTCGGGTATTCCCCGATTGATATGTGCGGCCGCGCGGCGCCAGTGATGCCATGTACAGCTGGGCAAATAAATGAGAGTATAGAGCGAGAAAAAGAACAATATTTCTAATGTTACCGATCTTGCGGTAATATTACGTAATATTACCAAAATTACCGGTAACATTTCCTCGGTAATATTACCCTTTACATCACTAGTTAGGTTACATTAATGGATAATCAAAAACGTAAAACCACATGCAATACTAGTGGAAAGGATGGAGGAAGCTACAATGACACACATCTTAATCTTTGGAAATGCACATGAAATGTGGGAAAAATTATTCTCAATTTACGAACATAAATCTGAAGTGAGGTTACATTTAGTAAGACAGAATTTTTTTAATGATAAATAAGGAGGCGAAAACATGTTAGTTTTTCTAGCGAAGTTGGAGGAAATTGTTAGCCAATTAAAACAGATAGGGGAACCAATTTCCGACCAAATGTTAATGACAAAGATAATCATGTCGTTTCCAGAACCGTACAAACATTTTGTATCTGTATGGGAGTGAGTTCCATCGAACAATCAATCAATATGTCAACATCACAGTTGTTGGTTGAGGAGCAAAGAATAAAAATAAATGAAAAAAACGGAAACCGTTTTTTGCCCAGAAAGAAAAGATGAGAAAAAAATAATACAATGCTTTCAATGCGGACCAATGCGGAAGGATATTTGTAAAAAAACAAGGTCACATCGGAAAAAATTGGTGGTTTAAAGATCAAAAAAGCAACAAACAGAATGAGAAACGTAGTAACAATAAAGTCAATGCATTCATAAGCACAGCCTTACTAAGTGAGACAATAAATAAGACAGATTGGATATTAGACAGTGGTGCAAAAGATCACATGTGTTGTCAGGTTGAACAATTTGTAGAAATGGCAACATTGGAATCTGCAAAGAAAATATAAATTGGAGATGGAAATGCTACAACAGTAGCAAGAATTCGGTGGAGACGTTCAAGAATCATCATGTGGCTTAAAAATCAACGATTTTTTTTAATCAATGTGAAATGGCCCAAAAGACACGTTAAATATAAAATGAAAGTGCGGAAAAATGTAGAACATATCGAAAAATCACATTAACGTTTCGATGTGACGTCACGTTTTGTGCCATTCGGGTTTCCCGCGCTTGTTAGCAAAATAGTGAGTTTAGACATGCAGTGGCGCCAATGAAAACTGGCGTGCTAAACTGACTAAATCTACTGGCATGCAAGTTAAAATCATGCATGCATGGATGGGAAAAGACTGCACCTTCTGAAATCACTGGCGCCAGTGATGAGTCTAAAAACATGTAGAACAGTTATTCAGAAAATAGAACTAGCGCAACTACTGGCACCACTAAATCCATGCATGTCTAAACTCATCTTAAAGCTAAGTTTCCACATCTAGTTCATTTGCATGTGGAAATAGCAAAAAACAACTGGCGCCAATAAATTGGTGCCTGTAATCATAGCGCCAATAAAGTTGACGCTACTTTTACTTTTTGGGGCCAGTAACAGTATTTATAAAGAAAACGTGTAACTATTAACGTGTTGGTCCAATTAAAATGAACAAATCCGCTGATAAACCGTCCAAAAAATGGACATCAGAACAAACAGTACTATTTCTAGAAACTTATGAACAATATCTTGTGTGTCCAGTATAAGGACCGACTAGCACGAAATGAAGCTGTCAGAAGGGTAGTTGAAGTTATGAAGAAAACAGTTCCTAATTTTGACGAAACCTCGGCAAAAGCACAAATACGAAGTATACGCAATACGTATATTTGAATAATGAGTAATTGAATAACCATAAAGTGACCATAATTGACCATAAAGTGCTTCACCATAAAGCATTTCACATATAAACTTAGAAATTGTGCTTTTTGGCAAACGATACATAAGGGTGTCCCGAAACTCAACGTCAAGCGGGCACCGGGTGGGAGGCCAACCCATACCTGTTCTGGTAAAAATAAGAAAAAAATTCTATGTCTCTTAGTTAAGTGGTAATAGACATATTTTTGAAAATGTTAAAAATCGTCCCGTACATCATATCTTTAGGTACTACGCTCAGAAATCTTCGCAATTTAATAGTGATTTTTTTAATAATCTATTCCTTGTGAACCATGCTACTGTAGAAGTCACAAATCAAACAACAAAACGGATCCTTGAGAATCGAGGATCGAGTTTCCGCATGAGTATTGTACAGGGTGTCCAAATTTTGATGGGTTTGCAGGGTATCTCAGTTGTTATGAAAAATAGAAAGTTGCGGCTTTCGCGAACCTGAGCTACTTTTTTGTGAAACTTACAATGGCGCAAACCAAATTTTTATAGCCCTCTTCGTTTTCGATATACAAGGAGTGTTTCAAAATTTACAATTTTCAGACACCTCCTGTATCTCGGCTATTTTAGAAGTTGAGTATTCAGTATTTGAGTTGTGTTTATAACTTAAAAACCGTGATGACTAGAAAAATTCTACGTGCACCATTGGATTCCACGTGAAAAAAATCTATCAGAACCCGTTTTTACTTTCTTACTAAGTTTCCGGATAGCCGAGATACAGGAGGTGTCTGCAAATCGTAAATTTCAAACACTCCCTGTATATGAAAAACGAAGAGGGCTATGAAAATTTGGTTTGCGCCATTGTAAGTTTCACAAAAAAGTAACTCAGGTTCGCGAAAGCCTGTACAATATTTTTTGTAACGAATAAAACGTCCTTGTGTGACGATATGAGTTGCCGAAATTCAAAACGACAATATTGATTGCAAATTGATTTTTATAGATTTTTTTCAATATTTTAAAACTGTGTTATCTGCACACGAATGTATAAAACGTTCTTATTAACCTTTTCTTATAAACATGCACATTTGGTCATTAAATATTCCTGTTAGTTGCGGTAACAAAAAGCATTTGTGCGGGAAAACACGTTTCCCGCACGTCCTCTCTGCGTGGGAAAAAGTTATCTAGATGCTATGAGTAGAAAAAAATATTTTTTGTTTATAGTGTGCTAAATTTCCTACAACTTTTGTCTAAGGAAGAACTACGTATCTCGGCTCCTTAATGCCATTTATGTACTTTGTAGCTAACTTTGTACCCTATTTAGACAACTCGGAGAATAATCCCAGTTTATCTTCGAACATGGAATAGAGCAACTTAAGGTTTACTGTTTTAAGTTTTTAATTTAAAAATAAAAATACTTTCTTACCATTAGATTCATCCGTAGTTAAATAACTTTTCGAAACCCTCTTTTCCGGTTCAATATCAATAGGAGCACTAATTTTAAATTTTAAAGCCATTTTAACATCGTCTTGATTAATCCCAGTTTGATTTCTACTCCTTCTATGCACCTTAACCTCCCCAACATCATTTTGGCATTTTAATCGTTCCTGCCACGCTTTTAACCTTGCATCTCTATCATCTGCCTTCCCAATATTCACTGGAATTGAAGATTCAATTTGGCCCATTTGATTTACATTTATAATCTCTTTCTCCGCTATTAATTCAGTTTGACCCGATGATGGACTGGATGGAGATGAAGATTGTAATGAAGATGCTGATGTTAATGAAGTTTCCATTGGATTAATTTCTGATTGTCTTTTAAATCTTCTTGTACGTCTCGTTGCTGAAAATCGATCAAATTGACCATCTCCTAACGTTTCTTTTGGTTCGATTTCTTCGGGACTGTGTAGAGATGAAGATTCTTTTGAAGGCAACGAAGATCTTCCTAAAAGTCTTCTACAAGGACTGGGTTGAATCGGTTCTCGTTTATCAACGGGTGATGGAGTAAAAATTTTTCTGATTGCTGGGGGTGTTTCGATATTATCTTGATCAATTTCAACTTTATTACTGATCATTTCTTCTTGAGCACCATCAACTTCGTGTTTTGAAATGTTACTTTTTTCTGAGGGGTTTGATGGGGTATCACTTGGTCTTCGAATATATAGTGTTAACCGATCATGAGCAGGTTTCTCTCCTAAAGAAGCAATTAAAGATTTTCTGTTATCATCGTCTTCTTCTTCGGTTATTTCGATTCTGGTTCTTGGTAAAGTGTGATATCTAAATCTAGAATCTTCTTTAGTTTCTTCAGTGCTATTCGCGACGTTTAAATTTGATTTTCTCCACGCTGATTTATCTTTAACTTGGGGTTGAACTTCCTCAACGGCTTCCATTGCCCCAACAACATCCGCATTTTCAATCGCAACGGAAGGTTTCCAATCGGGATAAACTTTTCTATAACTATTTTGACCGCCTGTGTAAACTTGTTTTCCTTCGGGTAAAGTGTCTAAAGTATTATTACTTCGATCGCTTTCTGAATCAATTTCCAAAGACTTTCTGTTTGTGTTTGTTATCATTCTTCTTCTGTCTTGTCTTCTGTTTATATTTTCTTCAACAACTTGATCGTTTTCGTTCGCTTGTAGCCAAGATTCAATTTTTTGTCTCCATTCTTTCTTCGTTGATTGATTTTTTTCATCGAAAACGTCACTTTTTGCTTCTTCTGCTAAAGGTGAAGGTGATGATGGTCGTTCTCGATCTGAAGAGAAATCGGCTGATAGCAAAGTTGGTCTTTTTCTTGATGGTCCACTTCCACGAGCTCTCCGAGCCCAAGATCGATCTAAACTCCCCCAAGATTTTCTTTCCCGATTTGAAGCATCATTTCCGTTCGATTGGTGATGAGAAGAACTTCTTAAAAATTCCATTAAGGTTCCTTCATCTTCTTCGGAGAGAACCCGACTTCTTCGGCGTCGCAAACTTCCATTCGGAGTTATATCAGGAGATTTTTCTTCTTTGGAGTTTGAGTTATCGCCGTTGAAAGAACCGAGTCTTTTTCGATTTAAACATGGCGATCCAGGAATACTCGATATTTCTTCTTCAGATGTTACGTTACTTCCACTTCCGGGTTTTCTTCCCTACAAAAATTAATTCATTAAAATTAATTAATTAAATCAAAATCAATTACTTTTTTCATTTGAAAACCAGATCTTGAATCGTAAATCTGAGTATCAATAATTTCTGAATCAGGACTTCCAACTAATCCCACTAAAATACAAAAAAAAATAAATTACGATAATTAAGGTATTATTATTATTACTTTGACGTCTTTTCGTAGCTAATAATTCCTCTCTTTGCCTCCTTCTTGCGTTAGCCTGCTCTTCTTGTAACCGCCTCCGTTCGTTTTCAGTTACAGCTTGTTTAAATTTGCAATAAAATCCGTGAAATATCCGGAAACATTCTTCCAGTTTGAATGTGTTAATGTCTTCGCAGAAAAAGTCTGTTAATTGAATTCGAACGTTTTCTAATTGAATGAGACTTTCTTGGAGTTGTTCTACTTCACGTTCGGCCATCTAAAATAATAAAAATAATTAATAAATATTTATAAAATAAATAATAACCGCCAAATAGCAAAAATAACATTGACAATTAGTACGCGTTTCTGATAATAGATGGCAATATGTGACAAGGGTTACAAACTTTAATATTTATAAAAATTAAGTTATTTAATAAATTTGCGAATTAAGAAACTAAATTAATTAAAAATAAGCGTATAAATAAAATATTTGATTAAAAATATACGCAGTTGAGTAATTTAGGTTGGTATCACTTAAAGATTTATAATTGACAATGACAGCTCAACAAGTTAAGCCTCAATAAGCTTACTTCCCCTGAACGAACAGATAATGATCTTCCCATGGTCGCTGTGCGAGACATAGTTTTGCGGAGGAATAACCTACAAGTAGTTGTTGGATGCGAGGCCAATGCGCACCACACAATGTGGGCAAGCAAATAAATGAAAGAGGTGAGTTGCTTTTTGACTACCTATTAGGAGAGGGGCTTACTGCTAATAATGTAAGCGCCAAACCAACCTTTGTTACCAGAAATAGAGCAAATGTACTTGACATTACATTCAGCTCAATCATATTAAGCTCAAAGATAACCTCATGGAGGGTATCCTCTAAACCATCGTGTTCAGATCATAGACATATTCAATTTAAAATTGACCTAGGGTTGAAATCAGACTCTACGTACCGTAATCCCCATAGCACTAATTGGGATCTGTTTAAGAGTTGCCTTGCAGATAACCTACCTAGTGTCATCGCCACCGTTAGGAACTCTCAGATCTCTGTGACAATTCGTTCTGCCTACCACAGCAGCAGACCACTGAAGGTGAAAAGTAATAATCGTGTGCCCCGATTATTACTTTTTAATACCTTTTTAGTACTTTTTTAGTACCTGGTGGAACGAATCTCTTAGCTCTGGAAGACAAAAGATCCGGAGGCTTTTTAACAGGGCCAAGACATTAGGTGAATGGGAGAAATATAAACAAGCTCTAACGAATTATACCAAAAACATACGTAAGGCAAGAAGACAGTCTTGGAGGAGGTTCTGTGAGGGAATGAAAGACACACCCAGCAGTGCAAGAATTCACAAGATTCTCGCTAGAGATCCGGCACTGCCCCCGGACTCACTTAAGCTGCCTGACGAAATTTAACTGAGTCTCGTTAGAGCTTCTCATGCAGACTCACTTCCCAAGCTTTATGATGGGGTCTAATAATATCAGAGCGGGCTATTCCTGCACGGAAAAGTGCCCCTCAAATACGGATTGGAGTGTAACTAGAAAAGTCGTCACTTGCACATCCGTCGACCAGGTGATTCAAACGTTTAAGCCGTTCAAATCGCCCGGAGAAGACAATATCTTTCCTGCTTTGTTACAGCAAGGAAGCCTGTCTTAGGAAGGTCACTATTGGTAACAATTTTCAGAGCGAGGAAATATGTACCGGCAGAATGGACTAAGGTAAGGGTATCTTATATACGTAAAGCGAATCATTCGGTCCCTACTCCTAATGCTTTTCGACCCATCAGCTTGACGTCATTTCTGTTGAAAACCCTTGTTTTCACCAGTACGCTTTTCAAACGGGAATGTCGGCAGAATTGGCTCTACACAACTTGGTTGCTAGAGTATCTAGAACCCTCCAGGACAAAGAGATATAGAAGATGCGTTCAACAACACAATATCTTGAAAGAGCTGCTCTTGACAGGGGAGTGGAAGCAGCTATAGTGGGTTGGATCCGCAATATGCTGTTAGGAAAAGCAATTGTCTTCAACAACCAAATTTTATTTACAATAAAAAAAATAACAATAGAAGTATTCCACGCGTTTCGAAGAACGGTGGTCGATCAAAAAATGCTGGAACCAAACCTCTTCAGTTACGACGTAGGGATGAACTCTAACTGTAACTCTAAACTCACTTCCCCGGGCCCATGATGTTTGCGATGTTGAGTCTAGTAACTTCCCGGCGAAAGCTTTCTGGGAATCCTTTCTCTGAACCAAAAAGATTCGCTGCCCAGATGGTCGAAGAGAACTTTTTTGTTTCTATAAAGTTTGTAAAACTTTATTGCTCCCGGTGAAACATGCAAACGTGTTGTTTGCGATGTTTTAGTAAACAAGCCCGGCGAAAGATTTTAGTTGTCCAGATGTCCGTCACATTCTAGTTCACTCCACGGTGACACGATACGGTTTAGGCCGGGAGGTGGCTGTCCGCAGGGAGGTGTTATCTCCCCTGCTTTGGTCCCTTCTGGTTGATGATTTGATTGCGATAATCGAAGCCGTTGGTGTAGAAATACACAGTGTATGCTGATGACATTGTCGTTATGGTTAAAGGAACCTGTTTGTGGAGGATATCCAAAGTCCTCCAAAGTAGTGGCTAGTGATGGACAATATTTTGAATAAAAAGTAATATACCGTTATTTCACAAACTTCTTTGTACTCTGAAAAAATCGTCCTGATTATATGAAAGCTAAGAAACAATTCTTGCACAAAATTAAAGCTTAAATCTTCTACTTTCAGATAATATAAACGTTATTGTTTCAGCAGTAACAGGATTTTATAGAAAAAATTTAATGTAATGGCATTTTTTTGAAGCTTTGCAAAAACCCTGCAAATTTTAGATAAAACCTAGGTTAGTTATCCCTTCACCAGGAGACAAAAGTTGGATGAACTAATCCGCCCAACTATCCAAGATGAAGAAAGGAAGTCAAATATCTAGGGGTAATCCTAGACAAAACCCTCTCATGGAATGGACATTTGCAGTGAGTTTTACACAAAGCTAGACTATCCTTGTGGACTTGTCGTAGTCTTTGTGGATAAAATTAGGGTCTTACCCCTGAAAGATTGTTCTGGCTCTATGTGACTGTGGTTAGACCTATGATCACATACGAAGCAGCAGCCTGATATAGGAACGTCTGACAGACTTTAGTTATCAGTAAACCTTCACCAATTCAACGAGTAGCTGGATTAGCAATCTCTAGTGCGATAAGCACAACACCTACTCTAGCAATGGACGTTTTGCTTGGCCTATCTCTTTTGCATTTTCATGTAGAGAAAGTGGCTAGATGTACCATTTACAGATTTAAGCAATATTGTTTAAAGGATCAGTGTTGAGCATACAGGGTGTTTCGGTGACTCAGGGAACAAATTTAACCACATATACTAGAGTGAAAATGATGACGATTCATGTAAAAAAAGATTAGTAAAAGTCTTCAAATTTCAAAAATCCGTTAGTTAGGAAATTTTAACACATTTTTCCAAATATCTTAAACACTATTTACAGTAAAGCGCTGAAATTTGGTACAGTATAAATCAATGTCATGTAAAATCGTTAGGCAATTTATAAGTTGGATCGGTCCGCGGGAACAATGCTATACAGGCTATTCCTAAAGTTTGTTTGCTCAGAACTTTTTTATTCTATCATAACCCTACATTTATTTTTACATTTTTTTTTTTATTCAATACATAATAGTTAATAGTTATGACATGACAGCTCAGTTTGATTCACTTGTCATTGCCAACATGGTGTGCAATCTTACTACTATAAAAATGTAGACCGAGATTTAGTACCCTCACAATCCACTGGATGACGTTGTAGACTGAATTTGTAGCAATCTGCATTATCTACAAAAACAAAGCGCTTGTAACCATAGAAAAATGTATGTGTAACGTCAAACTCAGAGGTGAAAGTAAACGCCACATTTTTGTTTTGTCGTTTAGTGTGATAATTGGTGATAACCCGGTTATATAAGCAAATTTTCTTCCTTACGTTCTTTTGGCTTAGGTCCATTACTACCATCTTTTAGTTAAATTTATCTTATAGATAAACCCATCTACTAGCCAATCAGAGCGCTTAAAATAGCCGTAACCGTGGTAATAATCCCTTAGATAGCTTAACCAGAAGATGGTAGTAATGGACCTTAGTGTTTTATATCCTTTAGTTAAGTATTTAAATAAGTTAGGGCCACTTTTACCACCTCTTGATAAGTATATCCGATAGATAAATTGGCGCTCTCAGCTAATGAGAGTACTATACGTCATTAAAAATTATGAATATTATCTTGGAAAAACTTTAAATTAATATTTTTTCCTATTTCTTTGGAAAATGCGTTTGACCTCTTCAAAATAAACTAGTGGTATAAACCGGTATAGAAATACCTATTTAAATTTCGCGCTTAAACCTAATTAGTTCCCTCACAATCCCCTTGGGAGCGCATGTACCAAAAAATAGTGGGGAGATGACCTTCTATATAAATAATATATATACATTTTTCTATGATTGCCAATTCAGATTATTTAATTTTTTTTAGTGTTCTTGAATTCGGAGCCTAACATTTTTTCATTTAATACGAAAACGGTGGTTTTTATCAATATTCTCTAAGACTGATAAAAGTTTCTAAACTAAATTTACTATTAGAAACAGCATACATAAATGTAGGGTTATGATAGAATAAAAAAGTTCTGAGCAAACAAACTTTAGGTACAGCCTGTATAGCATTGTTCCCACGTACCGATTCAACTTAAAAATTGCCTAACGATTTTACATGACATTGATTTACACTGTACAAAATTTCAACATTTTACCATAAATAGTGTTTAAGATATTTAGAAAAATGTGTTAAAATTTCCTAACTTTGATGGCCTGTATCTTTCCAATTTGAGGACTTTTACTAATTTTTTTTTACATGAATCGTCATCATTTTCACTCTAGTATATGTGGTTACATTTGTTCCCCGAGTCACCGAAACACCCTGTATACTCAACACTGATCCGACATGTCGTACCAATGGGCTGCGGAAGACATTATAAGCACTGATATTGTGCTATCAATGCCGCAGATTTTGGGGATCACTATCAGTGATTAATGCTCGATACCAGATTGTACGGCAGTCCTGGATCGAAGACGAATATTCTCTGGTTCAGGCAGATATGTGCATGTTCACAGATGGATCAAAAACGTCGGAAGGGGTTTTTGGTATACTGCCAGGCGTCTCGGATTAAGTAACTTTACACTCTGGGTACGCACTGTACTGTATTCTAGGCAGAAGTATTTGCTATTGACATGGGTGCTACAATCCTTCTTGAGAGAGGAGTGAAGAACATGATAGTACGACTTTTCTCAGACAGTGAAGCCGCTCCGCAGGCGCTGCAGGCCGTGAAAACGGTGTCGGCTATGGCCAATGACTGTAAAACACCTTTAAACACACTGAGTTATGATAACAGAGTTTCTCTGATCTGGTTCTCAGGTCACTCTGGGGTTGCTGGTAATGAAGCGGCAGATGAGCTAGCACGGTAGGGCAGCGCTAAAGTGTTTGTGGGGCCAGAGCCAGCAGTTGGAGTATCATTTGCGTTGGCCAAACATAGGATTGGGCTGTGGGCTGAAGAGAGACTACTATGGACCAGTTCTCCTGGAATGAGACATGCTAAGTTGTTTATTAACGTCGCCACTGTCAAACCCGAGAATGTTTTAGCATTTGCTAGTAGCAGCATTAAAGTTTTAATGGGTGTCTTTACTGGGCATTGCCGATTAATAGTCGACGATGTTGAATGTCGACTTTGTGCGAAGGACGAGCATGTTTTATGTCACTGCCCTGCTGTTAATCGTATCAGATTCTCGATTTTTGGGTCGCAGTTTATCTCTGCAAAGGATCTGAATGAAATTTCACGGTTAAATTTGATAACGTAATCTATCGGAGTACAATAAGGTCGCGGTACAAGGTTGGTTGGTTTCCCTACCGGATATGTAATTTATGTAAATGTAATGTAAGTTAAAACTTTTAAAGTAAAATTACCATAAGAAATTCACTCATTTGATGCTTAATATCATGTTCAGTTGTGGGCAATTCAATTTGTTTCTTAATTTTTTTAATTCTCGAGTCCAAAGTGTTGATTTCGTTCTGTAATTGTTCAACGGTTGTTCTAAAATAAAGATTAATTAAATTAAGATAAATTTTTTTAACAACAATTTACTTTGCAGCATCTTCCAGAACACTTGTATTATCGGTAAACGATAATAACTTCTTATTTCTTTTTTCAGCTTGCTGAAAAATTAGTTTTTTATTAAATTAATATCACTTTTTTAAAACTTACTAAAGCAACGAAATGTATTAAGTTCATGTTAGGTTTATTAGCTCTAATGTCCGTTATCTTCTGTAAAGATGAAAGTTTTACTCCAGCTGCATTTCCGGCGTAACCACCCTTTAAAAAATAACAAATTAATTGTAAAACATTAATGTTTTAAATACTTACTGAGTTTAAAAAGTTTCCAGCTACTAAAATCATGTATAAAACTTCTTGTAATGGTTTATTGGTCATCAGATCTATTACAAAGATTATATTAATTAAATTCATTTAAATTTATTAACTTACCTTTAGCTGCTGCTATCATAGATTCAATACTCGGTTCTAAATACCCCATATTAGCCGCGAATTCCTCTTTAATTAACATGCTTTCAATTCTTAACTTATAACTAAAAAGATTTATTTTGATTATGATTAAAACTATCATTTTAATTTAATTACTTTGGTAAACTAGTAAGTTGTAATAAAAACTTTTCCGCATTCCCCAATTTATTAAAATCGCCAACGTAAGATTTAAGCATATCCATTTCATCTACTTCCGGTAAGATTTTTAATAATCCTTTAATTTTTTCCGCCCCAATATCGTCATGTTCGCCGTCTTTTATTAATTGAATTATATCTTCGTTCGAACTATGTATTAAAGAAAAATAAATTTTTTATTTAAATATAACCAAAAAAGAAATTACCTTCGAAATTGTTTCAAAAAAATATTAACATTTAGACTTCTTTTTCCATCCAATAAAGTGACCTCTGAATTTTCTTTCCTCACCCTTCTCTCGTTATCAAATCCACCAGAATCTCGATTACCGCTTAATTTCGGCGATTGATTACCAACATTTTGTGCTTGTTGGCAAAATAATCCCTCCATTTCACTCCAATCCATATCTTCCATTGGCGAATTTTGGTGTCTATACGCAACTTGACTCCAGATATTATTCCTTCCCACCACTTTGTTACTCGGAATTTTATTCCAGTTAATCGTTTTCATTTTGATTTTTGGTTGGGGCGTTTCCAATTGAGGTAATTTTTCTATTTTTTGATTTTTATTTAAATTCGATTTATTTAGCATTAAATTTGAATTTAGATTTGTGTTATTTTTCATCATTGGAGGTGGGGGAATTATTGGAGGTTCCGCTGGTGGAGCTGGAGGTATGTTTGGAGGTGGTGGTGGGATGTTTGGCGGTGGTGGCGGCGGAGGAGGTGGCGATGTTATCGGGGGTGGGCTTAATAAAGGTATACTACTTTGTGATCCGGTTATAAGAGATTGTTTTCGACTTCCTGGGTTACTCCCCGTTCCAAAATCCCCAATTCTATTATTATTATTATGTTGACAATGACAAAAATAAACTTTATTACTCGATTGAACACTTGGAGTTCTCAATAATTTCGCTGCATCCCCACGATTTTCAATTAAAGTCGCTCTATGCACTAATCTTTCAGCTGTGTCCCAAATTATATCGCTTACAGCTTCTTTTGGGTCAATTCGAAGAAGATGTTGGAGGATGCTTAAAAAGGGAATTTCTTGGGGGGTTTCAGCCACCTAGAATATATTTTTGTTAATTAATTTAATATGATTTAATTCATATTAATCGTACCTGTTTGAGAATTGCATAAAAAACATCTAAAGGCGAATTTAGATCAACCCCATGGGGACCTTGCATGCTTTGAGAATCGTCGCTTTCTCGTTGTTCGTCGAAAACATCCAATTGGACTGCTAATTCCGGTTCTGCCTCGGCACATTTTCTAAATTTAAAAATTACATTTTATATTAAATGTTGATAAATAATAAAATTCGTGTACAGTAAATTCTCGATATAACGAACATGTTTTAACATGTCCTGCATATCACCATGTAGCTCAAGATTGATCACTATCCCCTCTGCTCCATAATGAATTTACCAGAATAAAGATCAAATGTCAACCTATATGTCTGTGTGGATGACTTTTGTATCCTATAATAGTTCATATACAGTGCGCGAAATCGCTCAAGTAGGAGAAAAATGAATAAAATCTGCGGGCAGAGAATTAGCTTCTGAAAGCAGTAGAATACTTAATTTATAATTTCTGAGATAAAATTATAAAACCATGAAAGAAAAATAAATGATACGAAAACTTGTTCTTGCAGCAAAAACCACTTTTAACATACTACTAGCGCGTATGAAAAGTCCTTTTAGGGGAATTATGCCTATGATGAAGGGGGCCATCATAGGCCAATGATGGCCCATCCAACATATTTTTATGTTTCCCGCGATTTTCGTTCAACTGACAATTTTACCACGTCATCTAACGTCTTTTTTGAGCTGCAGATGCAGTATGAAATGCGCATGGTGTGCAATCTTACTACTATAACAATGTAGACCGAGTTTTTAGATTTAGTACCCTCACAACCCACTGGATGACGTTATAGACTGAATTTGCAGCAATCTGCACTATCTACACAAACAAAGCGCTTGTAACCATAGAAAAATGTATGTGTAACGTCAAACTCAGAGGTGAAAGCAAAGGTCACATTTTGCCGTTTAGTGTAATAATTGGTGATAATCCCGTTGTATAAGCGAATTTTCTTCCTTGCGTTCTTTTGGCGTAGGGCCGATCTTATAAAACAGTTTATACCGCTCCGTATACCAAGATGTCTTACAATACCGGCGTATAGCATAATTCAACGCGAATAGCTTATACTAGGAATAAGTCAGAGACTGTTTGACATTGACTATAATCAATCAGACGTAATAATTATTGTATGAATAATGCGTAATGCTGATTTTCAACTTAAAATTTGTGAGACATCCAAAAATAAGTTAAATTTGCGAAAATTTTTCATTATTTTTCCGGATTCAGCACCCAAAAATCAATAAAGATCGCCTTTCAGTTTCAAAAAAAGTTTGACCGCAGGCCTGAGTAATTAAAACTGGAACTAGAAACATTCGACCTATCTTGTCACAATGTATGGACTTCGAACCAGTTTCTGAAGAACGTCAAACCTTTTATTAAAAGACGCACGGCAAAACCCGAAAGTTTCTAGTGTTAGTTCTAGTTTTAGTTCTAATTATAGTTTAATGTATTTCATTTAAAAAACATTGAATAATTCAAAAAAAAAATTTTAGTTGTGCCATGACACAAAAGTTGCTTTAAGAATATTTTTACAGATTCACGAAGAAACGAAAAATAAGGAAGTTATAGGCAAAAAACGAAAAACCTATACACACAAATGTTTGTTCATATTGATCAAGCCGTTAAAAAGATATTTTCATGTTTCCATACATTACACGCGCACTGTATATAGTTCATGATATTTTACACTCTGTTCTATTTTATCTTCAGTTCAGCAATATTTAGTGATGTGCAAGTAGTTAATAGTCTTCTGCAAACTCTACCTTGTCTTCCGTTACCAGTATCTAGTCATCACCCAGCAGTATTAAGTGTTATCCAATTTCTGCAATTAATATTTACTCTTCTATTAGCAGTTCTTAACATTCTGAGAGCAAAATATAATTATCTACAAATAGGTTCGAGCTATCTGTTAATAGTAGTCTTCTAGAAACAGTGTCTAGTCTTCTACCATCAATAGTTTGTCTTGTGCAACTTTCATTAGCAGTATCTAATTCACTGCTTGCAGAATTTAGCTTCTTTCGGAGGTATTCCATTTCTGCAATTTAGTCTTCTATTAGCAGTTCTTAACTTTTTGAGACCAAATATATTTATCAACAAACAGGTTTAAGTCTTCTGCTGGTAGTAGTCTTCTAGAAACAGTGTCTAGTCTTCTACCAGCAATATTTTGTATTGTGCAAACAGTAAGTAGGCTTCTGCAAACGCTATCTAGTCTTTCATTAGCAGTATCTAGTTTGCTGCTTGCAGAATTTAGCTGTCTTCAGCGATATTCCATTTCTGCAATTAATATTTAATCTTTATAACAACTATATTAGCGTTTTTTTATTTTTTTAATAAATAAATTTTGTTTAATTCGAAGACACACGCGGATTTCTTGATTCCCAGTGTCTATCTGTAATTTTTATTTTGCGTTACAGGCTCCCCCTCTGACTCTGACGCCGACCCGACGAAGAATCAGCAATATTTTTCTTAGGTCTTCCTCTTCTACGAAACGAGACTCGAGGTTGCGTCGGTTTATTATCTTGGCAAGCTTTCAAGGCTGGTGAATAGTATTTGCATAAACGAATTTCAGGCTGTTGAGGATCTGAAACCTGATAACTAGTAGGGCTGATAATTTTTGTAACTATGTAACGTCACGTTTTGGAACAAACTTTCCAGAAACTTTCTTGTCAGTATTACTAAGTACATGCGTGTCAAACCAAAACTTTATCTCCAACTTCAGCGCCAGTAACTCAGAACAAAATCATCTAAAGCATTGACAATCCTCGTAGAGTAGTCTCATCGGATACATTTGCACAGTCTTACACATTTCGATAGCATCTATAAACGCTGCAACGTCCGCGTCTTTTGATCCATTAAATCTAGACGAGCATTTCGAAAAATTTCCAGAAAATTGTACTGTTTGACTCTGACCAGCATTTTGAACGCTAATAATATATTCTTTAAACTGTTCGTTAGTTAACGTTATCATTTTATCTTCTATATCCTGGTTAGTACTACAACGACGCAACTATTAAGACTTCCGTGAGGTTTTTCCCGTATTTGACAGGGTAAAATAATTGGTTTCTTTGGAAACACAATTTCGAATCTCCAAAAACTCGTTATTGTTGTAACGAGTGCTTCGTAGTTACAAAATCACACTAAAGTGTCTTGAAATCTAATCTTATAACAATTATATTAACATTTTTTATTTTTTACAATATATTTGTAATTTTCTTTAATATACAGGTGTCTCGCGTAACTGGTTCGTTAGAACTTTTTCAGGTTCCACTATTCGTAGAGATTTGAAATTTTGGTAGCATGGGTTGTTCATTCAGAACTTTCGATCTAAAATATTTTCAAGATGGCCGCCACTTTCGGTCTACCGGAAGTAGACCATAACTTCGCTATTTTAAATGTAATGCTATAGTTTTTATTACACCGTTTAATTGTACATAAAAAAATAGGTTGACTTTGATAAAAGTTATTGGTACCTAGCGTTTTTCGTTTTCGAGTTATTTTGGTTTTAAGCTTTTTTTTGGTAAATTTCAGCATGCTTTTTAAAACGTCATATCTCAGCTAACGTTCATTCAAAAAAGATCTACGTTGGCACGACTAATCTTCAGATGTTGTCAAATAGATTGTCATTTGTTGTATCGGAGTATCTTATACACGCTGGTCAAAAATTGAATTACTGTTTCTCCATATTCAATGGCGAGAAAGTCGAAAATTTTAAATGGAACGCCCCATATTTTTTTAGCGTATCAAGAAGAGAATTTAATTCTCTACAAATTATTGTAACGCCTTAACGACAAAAAAAAAGCTATTCACAATACAAAACCGATTACAAAATTCCACGGCACAAGTACGGGTCCTCGCCTAACCCAGTGAAGATGGGGAGGGTTTCATTTCTAAGGCGCCACACAGTTACTCCCGTACGGCCCACGAACTGTGACGTGATGTTAAAAAAAAAATGGAAAAGTGTAAACGAACACATAGATAACAAACAATGAAAGGTGAAATTTGAGTTGCATAAAAAATAATAATGTTTATTAACGAAGAAGAAAGAAAAAATGTACAAGCAAATAATAATAATAATAAAAAAAAAACTTGTCTCTTTCCAATATTCAAAATAACGTAAACTCAAACAATAATAAACAATGAACTCAAAATTATTAATGTTGGCGAAAATAAAAAAAAAAAATTAATAAAGAAATAAAAAAAAAATAAACTAATCAGCAATATTATTTGAACTCGCGCTTCGACCCCGTATCGTTGAATTCAACTTAAAGCCGGATATATATATATAAAAAAAAATTCGTAAGAAAAATAAAAAAATAAACTCGCCAACACGAATTTACAAAAAAAATTAACTCGTATAATATAAAATAAATTGATGCATAAAAAAAAAATTAGGGAAAGAAGACAAAAAAAATATATAATATTTCGGTATCAAACCGGTAAATACCAAATAATTAAATGGTTTTACAAGATATTTCTGACCTTTTCTTTCGACTTTCCGCAGCAACGATCTCTGGTGAGAAGGAAAGGTTTGATGATGTTATATTGGAATTTGATATATTGAAAATTGGCTCTCACTAAAAACCTCAGATGTTCGAGGTTTTAAAACCAGAAAGTTGAATTTTACAGAAAATACACCCAATATCCGGAAAAATCCGATGTCTTGAAACGTGAAACCACGATTTCTAAAGATATGCAGTGGTGATGAATCCGAAGATTCGCGAAAAGGCAAAATTTTTCAAAACCCAAAAATGGCGAAAACCCAAAATGCCTGAATTACCTTGCACCACAGTGTATAGTCACTGGTTACACCAGAAAGAGACCCCAGATGTAAGCGACAATGCTTTTAAAATAAAATTTAAAGGGCCAAAAAAATTACACCTGCGCTCTCAATACGCATCCATAACAGAACGAAAAACGAAGAAAAAAAAATCAAGAAAAAGGAAAAGAAAATTATCTGAAAGGATTAAAGGGATTTGGGGAGTTTAGGAATCGAGATCGTTGCTGAAAAAGAAATCAAAATAAACAAAAATTAAAACAATTAATTCAAATAAACACAAATATATCAAAACCCGCAAATATGCAACCCAAATTTCCCTCCAACATAAAGAAAAGAGAAACAAATAACATAAATCCCGAACAAAATTCAAACTACCGAAAGGAAACAAAAATTGAACCGTAACATTATCTATAAACATTCCCATACCTATTTATTGTAGTTTGTCTCATATTACGAAATTTATTAAAACATGCACGAAATCCAGGTTTTTTTATTAGAAAGCTATGGAATTTTGACAGTTTTTGGTCCATGTTTGTATTATTGTTGTCATTGGTTACATTTGACGACGGGTGTAAGTCATTGAACATCATGGTAAATTATTCCAACGCCGATATTTGAAATTTATTTTGTATTGATGGCGAATGTAATAAACTTTTGGACAGGACGTGTCGAACACTTAATGAGAGATGCCTAACAAATCTAACGCCCATCACAAGGAAAAATTTCAAAAAATTGATAAAGAATTTCTTAGTTCTGGATATATCGAGACAAAAAGAAATTGCATATTTCCGGCCACCAGTGATGAAGACAACGAAATAACGAATTTGTATTATAAATTTATATTTTTATTGAAATCTAATTTTTGTCATTAACTTTTTGTTTTAATAGTTTCATTTATTTGATCTTCTGTTTATTATTTTTGGTAAGTAAAAGCTAGTAAACTAAAAGATTATCAATCGTAGTTAATAGTACAAATAATAATATAAATAAATTAAACAAAAAACTGTCAAAATGTCATGGCCTTCTAATAAAAATACAAACGGTTTCCTGCATGTTTTGATAAATTTACGAATATGAGAGAAACTACAATAAATAGGTATAGAAATGTTTATAGATAAATTGTAGAGAATTAAATTCCCTTTCGTGTAGGCTAATAAAAAATGGGGCGTTCCATTTAAAATTTTCGACTTTCTCCCCATAGAATATGGAGAAACGGTAATCCAATTTTTGACCAGCCTGTATAAGATATTCTGATACAATATATGACAATCTATTTGACAGCATCTGAAGAGTAATCGTGCCAATTTAGAGCTTTTTTGAATGAACGTTGGCTGGGATATAGGGTTTTAAAGAGCATGGTGAAATTTGCCAAAAAAATCTTAAAATCAAAATAACTCGAAAACGAAAAACGCTAGGTACCAATAATTTTTATGAAAGTCAACATATTTTTTTACGTACAATTAAAAGGTGTAATAAAAACTATAGCATTCCATTTAAAATAACGAAGTTATGGTCTATTTCCGGTAGACCGGAAGTGACAGCCATCTTGAAAATATTTTAGATCGAAAGTTCCGATTGAACAACCCATACTACCAAAATTTCAAAACTGTACGAATACCGGAACCTAAAAAAGTTCTAATGAACCAGTTACGTGAGACACCCTGTATAAATTTTGATTAATTCGAATACACGCGCGGATTTCTTGTTTTCCGATGTCTATCTGTTATTTTCATTTTGCTACCGTATGGAATTAATAGATGGCGTTACATCTTCTATTAGCAGTTCCTAATCTGAGAGCAAAATATAACTATCCAAAAACAAGTTTAAGCCTTCTGCTAACAATAGTCTTCTAGGGACAGTGTCTAGTCTTCTACTAGGAATATTTGTCTTGTGCAAATTGTAAGTAGTCTTCTGCAAATGCTATTTGTCATTCATTAGCAGTATCTAGTTCACTGCTTGCAGAATTTAGCTCTTTTCAGCGATATTCCATTTCTGCAATTAATATTTAGTTTTCTATTAACAGTTCGTAACCTTCTGAGAGCAAAATGAAATTATCTACAAACAGGTTTAAGCCTTCTGCTAATAGCAGTCTTCTAGAAATAGTGTCTAGTCTTCTACCAGCAACATTTTGTCTTGTGCAAACGCTATCTAGTCTTATATTAACAGTATCTACTTCGCTGCTTGCAGAATTTAACATCTTTCAGCGATATTCCATTTCTGCAGTTAATATTTAGTTTTCTATTAGCAGTTCTTAACCTTTTTGAGAGCAAAATGTAATTATCTACAAACAGGTTTAAGCCTTCTGCTAGCAGTAATCTTCTAGAAACGTTATTTAGTCTTCTCCCAGCAGTATTAAGTGTTCTGAAAGCAGTATCTAACTCTCAGCCAGCAAATTTTATTCATTTTTCTCTTACTTGAGCCATTTCATTACATAGATGTTTTCCCATATCGAGAATTTACCGTAATAAATTAATGTGCTGATGTCGTATTCTAATCGATTAGTATTCTCTTTGCAAAAATGAAAGACTTACCGTAAGTTATTAAGAACAGGAAGCAGATGACATCCTTAAACAATAAAAAGAGTAACATTTCGAAAATACATTCACATTTATTTTTCTTACCTATAAATTCATTCCTCAATCTCGTCCTATCCGTTAATCTATGCGTTGAGATGATCAAACAGTTTATAAACGCGACTAAAGCAGTTTGATAATCAACAATTGTAGCATGATCGAGTTCTTTTACTATCAAACTCAATCTATATCGTTCACCTTTCAATTTCTAAATAACAAAAAAAATTAATTATTAATTAAAATAAATTAATTAAATTACCTGTGATGTGATTAACGAGAAACAATTAGGACTAAAAATCATTTTTAATGAAATGAGGTCATTTAAGTTAAGAAACGAACGTGTAGCTTTGAATTTACGCGAAATACTGGCGAATAAAAATGGGTTTAAAATAAAAATAACATTGTTATCTTATATAATCCCCTATAAGGTGTTTAATTTGTACGTTTAAATATGTTAATACGAATATCGTGAACGTCACTAGATATTTTTGTAAGTATTTACAAAAGATAAACAGACGTAGAAGATTTAGACTATTTTGGAGAGTTTTTTAAAAATTGTCCTGGTCATGTTTAACGAATTTATCCCAATAATAAAATATCTTATCGATAATTCTTTTTATAATATACTGTGTCTACGTGAGATTTTATTTTGTGGGCCGTTTATTTTTAAATTGTTTTAATCGCAAAACTTTTTCCATAAAAGGAAAAGCGAAAAATCGATTCTTTTTGTTGCGCTTTTTACGTAACACTTTAACTAAATGTTAAATGGGTAATTTGCATTTGAAATGGTCATCGTGAATGAAACATTTAAAACAAAAAAAGAATGTTTAACTCCGAACGTGACCGTCGTTTCAAGTACGAAACCCATCAATGGAAAATGTTAAACAAATAATCGAAACCAACCCAACCGAGAAACTTAACTAACCGAACCCGTGATAAATAACATTATGCAAATTTCGTTATTGAATTTACCTTGTAATGATCTAACGTGTCCAAAGCCCGACTGTGACCCTCTTCGTTATAAACACAAAGGGCGGATAACAATTCGAAAACTTGCTTTTTTACTGTTATGTTGTTCGTGTCTAAAGCTGCAGCTAGTTTCCGGATGTATTCCGGATTTTCCACGATAAAATCTAAACCAATCCGAGAGTCCATCGTTTGCATTATGGACTATTTATAAATTTTAACTGAAAAAAAAGAAATAATTTATTAATTAATTAAAATAAATCAACTTCACGTCATCAAATTTGTTTTTTTCAAAAAACTTCAAAATTAGTTGAATTGTTATAAAAATTACCGAAAATTCGAAAAGGGTAAAAAATTAACTGAACTATCAAATGAACAAAAAAAAATAATAATAAAATTTCATATAAATCAAAAATCTGCTTGAAATCGTAAAAATAATGAAGCGTAACACCTCTACTATCAATACGTGGTGTGGAATTATAAAAAGACAGGTGAAGTTAACAAAAGACTACGAAATGTAAATCGATCGATGCTAACAAGAAGAAATTCATTCCTACGTCGTCAAATCCCTAAGGATCCTACCGTAAGTGGTGTGGCACTGCCTATAACAGTCTTGAACAAGGCTCCATGTCCCCAGCCCCCCACATCAGCATATCTAAATTTTGAAAACGCCATTTGTTTGTGCTACGTTTGTGCTCGTTTGTGCCGCAAACGAGACGATTTGTGCTGCTTTGGTTCGTGAGATATTTGCGATTTTTGTAGGTGGGGCTGGAGACATGCCAGCCCCCCCACTATCGAAATTAAAATTTCTTTTCATGGTATTCGTTTGTGCTGTTTTGTGCCGTAAACAAGCTAGTTTGTACTGTTTTCGTTCGTGAGATATTCGAGTTTTTTGTAGGTGGGGCTGGAGACATGGAAATTTAAATTGTTCCCTATGCCGCCCCTGTTGTACTGACATAAAAATGCCCTAATAGTTTTCGTTTGTGCTGGTTTGTGCCGCAAACGCCAAGATTTGTGCTATTAAAGTACGCCAGATATTGATTTATTTCGTATTGGGTGTGCGGGGAAATCGCCCCCGTTGTACTGACATAAAAATTTCCTAATAGTTTTCGTTTGTGCTTCGTTTGTGCTGGTTTGTGCCGCAAACGCCAAGATTTGTGCTATTACGGTACGCCAGATATTAATTTATTTCTTATTGGGGGTGCGGGGAAATCGCCCCCGTTGTACCGATATAAAAATTTCCTTATAGTTTTCGGTTGTGCTTCGTCTGTGCTGGTTTGTGCCGCAAACGCCAAGATTTGTGCTATTAAAGTATGCCAGATATTGATTTATTTCGTATTGGGTGTGCGGGGAAATCGCCACCGTTGTACTGACATAAAAATTTCCTAATAGTTTTCGTTTGTGCTGGTTTGTGCCGCAAACGCCAAGATTTGTATCTGTATTAAGCCGACAAAACTGCAATTGGACAGCTTAATACAGATACTTTACCATTCATACTGTGATAGTACCTCCTTCCAAACCCTACTTGACAAAACTGATAATTTGTTGATGAAGTTGCTTCAAAAGCTTGTGAAAGAAGAGGTTTTCAAGACAGTTTACCTTTATCGTTCAAAAATATTAATTGAAAAGCTAACCCCCAAACCTCAACCCCAGTGAATTTACTTATATGACGCCACGTATACCCTTTCCCAGTTATTAGACAATATTGACAATTATCTTCCAAAATCATTGAAACCCGAAAACAAAACCGAAACACAAAATGCGTTATTATTATTACCGTCAGACACCTATACTCAGCACAAGTTGGAGCAACTACTGCAAGAATCCCTTAAATCTGTGGCGGTCAACTGTTGCTGTGGAGATAAAATTATGAAAGTGCCGGTTGTAACTTACCCATATATAATTTTTGAAACCTTCACTGCATGTCAACTTTCTTTTGAAATTTTTCCGAAAGTTATTGTGATGAAAAATATCAGGTACCATTTGAAGGGTCTAGTAGACTATTTTGGAGGTGTATCAGCCAAAAGTGTTGGACATTTCGTGTCTTATTGGCACAAAAATTGTGTTTGGCAGTGCCACGGAGGTGATTTCCGCGCACCCTTGATAAGAAATAAATTAATATCTGGCGTACCGTAATAGCACAAATCTTGGCGTTTGCGGCACAAACCAGCACAAACGAAAACTATTAGGAAATTTTTATGTCAGTACAACGGGGGCGATTTTCCCGCACACCCAATACGAAATAAATCAATATCTGGCGTACTTTAATAGCACAAATCTTGGCGTTTGCGGCACAAACCAGCACAAACGAAAACTATTAGGGCATTTTTATGTCAGTACAACAGGGGCGGCATAGGGAACAATTTTAATTGCCATGTCTCCAGCCCCACCTACAAAAAACTCGAATATCTCACGAACGAAAACAGCACAAACGACCTTGTTTACGGCACAAAACAGCGCAAACGTAGCACAAACGAATACCATGAAAAGAAATTTTAATTTCGATAGTGGGGGGGCTGGCATGTCTCCAGCCCCACCTACAAAAAACGCAAATATCTCATGAACCAAAGCAGCACAAATCGTCTAGTTTGCGGCACAAATGAGCACAAACGTAGCACAAACAAATGGCGTTTTCACATTTTAGATATGCTGAGGTGGGGGGGCTGGGGACATGGAGCCCTTGAACAAGTCTTGGTGTTCGTGTTAACCTTCAACGGCGTGAATTTATATTAAAAACTTTGGGTTTTATATTAAAAGTTGGTATGCCGTTAGAAAATCATTCATAAATATGATTAATAAACGAAAATGTGCAAAAAATGGCAAAAAAGGATTTTAACTTCTGAAAAATGGTAATTTTTAAAGATGAGACTAAACTCAATATAAAAATATCGACTGGACGAGTAAGAATTTGGCGAGAGAAAAACAAGAGCCTATATCCATATAATCTGATACCTATGTTCAAATGTGTTGAAAGTTTAGTGATGATATGGGGATGTTTTTCAGCGGCAGGAGTTGAGGATTGACTAAGAATCAGGTTTAAGCCTTCTGCTAATAGCAGGTTTCTAAAAACAGTGTCTAGTCTTCTACCAGCAAAATTATCTCTATCTAGTTTTGGATTAGTACTATCTAGTTATCTCCCAGCAGTATTAAGGCTTCTGAAAGCAGTATCTAATTCTGTGCCAGCAAATTTGATTCATTTTTCTTTTACGTGAGCCATTATACACAGTATAGAAGTTTTCCCATATCGAGAATTTACCGTAATAAATTAATGTGCTGATGTCGCATTCTAATCGATCAGTATTCTCTTTGCAAAAATTGAAGATTTACCGTAAGTTATTAAGAACAGAAAGCAGGTGACATCATTAAACATTAAAAACAGTAACATTTCGAAAATATATTCCCATTTATTTGGTTGGTTATTCTGGAAAACGGTAATTTTCACAGATGAGACTAAACTCAATATAAAAATATTGACTGGACGAATAAGAATTTGACGAGAGAAACACAAAAGCCTATATCCACATAATCTGATACCTACCTACGTTCAAACATGGTGGAAATCTTCATTTTATAGATCAATATTTTAGAGATTTTATCTTTCAACTTTGAAGATAGAAGACTTTTAAGATAATCAAACCACCATCACAAACTCTAGATCTTAATCCTATTGTCAATGTGCAAAAAGACACTGAAATATTACGATATTAGAACCGTAATTGACTTAGAAATAGCCACTAAATTAGCGGAATCGATGCCGAGGTGTCTAAGTGCTGTTGTTAAGCAAACAGGCATCCAGCAAAGTATTAGTGTTATTCCAAACGTATAATTTTCTTAGTTATTGTTAAAGGTTATACTATTCGAATACGGTTTTTGCTGCCAACTGTGATTACAATGTCCTTTACCGTTTGATTGTCGAACTGCAACCCAACCCAACATATCTGAGAGCAAATATAATTATCTACAAACAGGTTGGGTTGGATTGGGTTGGGTTAAGCCTTCTGCTAATAGTAGTCTTCTAGAAACAGTGTCTAGTAAGTAATCTTCTGCAAACGCTATCTAGTCTTCCATTAGTACTATCTACTACGCTGTTTGCAGAATTAACTTCTTTTAGCGATATTCGTTTTCTACAATTGGACCGCATTATACTTCACTTGACTAAGCGACATTTTATCGTTTTTAGAGATTTTCATGCTGTCTGGTAGGTAAAGGTGTAACTTATCTTAGAAGAAACGCAAAATACCGAAAGACCTAAAATACTATTTGTTTTAAAAGATAAAGCTTCAGAGACTCTACAAGTAGATAAACATCTCTCATCTTATCCATTTTAGAAACGACAGCGGTAGGTAGCGCTAGTTAGCATAAGATATCACTATGTTACATATTTTTATTGCACTAAAACTAGAACGAGAACTAAAAACATTCGGGTTTAGTCGTGAAAAAAACGTTCAGTTGTCAATGTCAACTTTAATTTTTTATTATTATATTCATAAAATAACCTTTAAAGTGAGTCCAAACTTAAAGGATTTATCTCAAAAAACCAAAAAGTTCGAACTATCAACTTTTAATTTTGACATACATATTTGTCAACTTCATAAAAAATCCTTTAAAATGAGTCCAAACTCGACATATTTAACTTTAATATTAATGGAAACTTCCGGTTTGAAACGTCAACGTCAATTTTGATATATTTGTCATCTTCATTAAAAAACCTTTAAAATGAGTTCAAAGATGACGCACTTATCTCAAAAAACAAAAGAGTTAGAATAAAAAACATAAAACCCTAAATTATCAACAATGAAGAGAGCAATTTAATTTTTAAATATTAATAGCAACCTTAATTTTTTATTTTTTTTTGTTTATATATTTGTTTTTTGACAAATATTAAGACATTTTATAAAAATTATGAATATGTCAAAATGACATTGACATTTCAAACCGGAAGTTGCTTATATCTCGAGTAATATTGGAATTAAACGTATCATGTTTGGACTCATTTTAAAGGATTTTTCACGACGATAACAAATATGCCAAAATTGACGTTGACATTCTTAACCGGAAGTTGATAATAACTTCGTTAATATTGAAGATAAAAATGTCGTGTTTGTAATGATTTTAAAGGATTTTTAATGAAGATTACAAATATGTCAAAATTGAGGTTGACATTTGAAACCTGAAATTAGTTATCATATAATAAAAGTTTTATAACTGAAGTTAATCTAGT